GTCGCTGCGAGGAGGTCGCGCTGGAACCCCACGGGCTTGGTCTGGATCCAGCTGCCGCGGGAGCGCCATGGCTTCCCTTCTCAATCTAGGTGGAAGAGAAAGGGAAGGAGGAGGAGGCAAGGGGAGGTCACCGGTGCAGAGATGATGGAGGCCGGAGGCGGACGGGGAGAGCGCGTGCCGGCGGGGGGCGGCGGATGACGCGGGCTGGCGGCGTCGCCAGATGCAGCTGGGGTCGAGGGGTGGAACAAAGGAGTGCGGACTGGATTTCAAACAAAAAATAGGGTTTTTTTTCTAAAAACATGAAGTGTTTCCCAGATTCACTTAAGAAGGGACTGCGGGTTTAATTTTCAAAAACTTCAGGGACTGTTTTGCAAAAATCACTGATGACAAATGACCAGAAGCAATAGCTAGTTTATTAGTACGTAAAGATGTCCTGCTATTCTGTTTGGTTAGACAATATAAATGTGAATTATTTCATGCCCTGTTTTCTTTCCTACTATCCATTGCACCTGTCTATCTTACAATGTCTATACATTCAATTACTTTTCTTATTTATCAGTCATTTCAATTGAAGGGGGTGATGGCAGTATCTGTGGGAGTAAAAACACGGTCTTCAGAAAAGATCGTGCTACCTGTCGATGGAGATAGAACCATAGTTGTACTTCCCAAGAACCAGCCCACTACACATAACCCAGACTCACGCAGATTGTACGCCTACCCAGTTGGACAGAGAACCAACTACACCCCTTTTAACCACAACCCCAGCAGATAGTAACCCAGTTCCTGTTGACACAACACGGTCTCCACCACAGAGCACCCAAACACAAGCAGTTAGTAAGGCAACTGCAGTGCCCAAAGTACGAGGACCACTAGTCCGAACCCCAAGCCAACGCTTAAAGCAGAAGAAGAATTGTTTTAAGGTCAGGTTCTGTAGCTATGGTTCATACTACTTTGCTCTTGCATCACTGTATTTACTCATACCAACTAATTTCAAATTTGAAGGATGCAATTGAAACTCCAATGGTGCAACAGGTATGTTTTAAACATGTTTCTTTAACGTGTTTGCTATTGTAACTTACTCTATGTTTATTTCAGTTTCAATTGAATAAACAGTTATGTTCTCATGCCATGCACATTACAAGTGTTGTTATTGTTGTGTAGTTTCCTACACTTATATTTTTTCTATGCTTCTTTGTCTTAAATAGATATGATTCGAACTGTATCTATCTTGATTTGGCAACATAAACTAGAATGATATAGACCATACAGTGACCATACTACATAGATATATGTTTGTTTCATGCTGTTATCATGTCCACCTTACTACTGAACTGGTTTACCAAAATGAGTTTCATATACTACATTGTAAACCTGTGATGTGTTTGTTTGTTTCTCCTTTAGAACGCGGATAAAATATTGGAGAAGAGTACCCCGTTATGCAATAGTAAAGGAAGTAATGCAGATCAGGTTCAAGATAGTAAGACATCCCTGTTGTTCTCCAAGAAAGCTGATAGAAACTATATTGAAGACACTGAGACAACCCCAAAGTCCTGTCTTGATGTAGTGTTCGAGTTACTGGCTACTACTGTTGGCACCAGCTCTTCGAACTCGTTGCCTGAATTAGTTCGGCTTCTTGAGTCTCAACTTCAAGTTGAAAGGCATCGATCAGATGTTATGCCACAGGAAGCCGAAGGACCGAGGAAGTCCCTGCAGAATTCAGATGCATACTTTCTAGTGCAACAACAAGTGTTGGAGGATTTAAGCGCCAAACAAGAGAAAGTTAATAAGCTTGCTAAGCATCTTGCCAGCATTATGGGTACCCAGGATATTGTTTCTTGAGCTCTTCTAAAGTGGTTTCTGTTTTGGACTTGTTTTGCTGCGGCATTTATATGCTACTTTGTTCCCTATATTTGCACTTGTGGCGAACTTTGATGCCCAGTGGATGTAATATGTGTAATAGCCATGATAGCCTAGCGTAAGTTGCTTGCTTAGTTATTTCCGTTGTCTTGTTTATTTATTTTCTTGTAGTCAGTGCAGTTCTTTTTCTGCAGTTTGCCAGTGGCCGCAATAACCTATTTTTTAAAACTAGGCCACATTAACAATGGGCTACATATTTACTTTAGTTAACATGGGCCTCCTACGGGCCGTAGAAATAATGGGCCTTCTAAGGGCCGTAGAAACAACGGGCCTTCTACGGGGCGTAGACACAATGGGCCTTCTACGGGTCGTATCATCGATGGGTCTTCTACGGGCCGTATGATCGGTTGGCCAAACATGGGCCAATAACAGACCACATTATGGCCGTAAATGGGCTAGAGTTGAAATCGTCCGTTCATGGGCCGACCATAACGGGTCGTTGTTAATAGGCCGTATTTGATGACGCTATGAAAACGGCCCAACGTATTAACGGGCCACAAACGGGCTGATTGTAACCACAGGTTGTATTTGGCCCACAAGCAGAAAATGACAGTAACGGGCCGAAAGTAAACAAATGCTGAAAATGAGCCCAAGAATAAATGGGCCCTGAGAAGGCCGAAAGATAACATGGGCTGGAAACGGCCCAACAAAATAATGGGCCGTTAATGGGTATAAAGTGATACACTATTCATTATGGGCCAGTTTTACCACGGGCCGTTAATGGGCCGAGGGTTACTAAGGGCCTCATATGGGCCAAAAGACATCATGGGCCATACATGGGCCGGAAGTTAAAACGGGCTGGAATTATATTGGACGGCCCAGATGATGCTACTGGGCCTAATTCAGATAGGCCGTAAACGGGCCCTGGGTTAGCGGGCTGTAAATGGGCTATATGCGAACATGTCGTTAACATGCTTGTCGTGGGCCAGCCCGCCACCTTTTGACCAAGTCAAACGGGCCGGCCTTTTCACACGAATGGGCCTCTATTGGGCCGTGCCACATGGCGATGTATCATAGGCGCTTTGGGTCCAATGAGTGGATGACATCTGTCCCAACGGTGAGCCGACACATGTTTCCTCCAGCCAATAATGATTTTACATGTGGAAAATCCCCATTAGTTGGGGCTATTAACGGGTTATCGGATCCAAAACCAGACCCGATAGCTTAACGGTGTTCCGTTACGGTGGATGCCACATGTCCTCACCCTTGACGAAAGCACTTCTGTGACGCGCGATTTATCGCCATGGAAGTGGTAACTTCCGTGATGATAATTTTGGTAATGTCATGGAACACTTCTACGACAGCACAGGTATGACTATCTTGATTCTGTCATAAATTTGTCATGGATGTACGTGCATGACAGAAAATGTGACCTACTGTGACAAACACGTATCA